GACTCCCCAAAAATAGCCAGATTGCCCAGAATGTCGCGAGCGCTGCGAACAGCGGTAATGGCGACACTAGCGGTAATAGCGGTAACATCGGTCACAGCAGTAATAGCGCAAATAGCGGGAACGCCCAGAACACCCTGCATGGATTGATTCCGCCGAGTCAAAAAGGCTTCGTGGATAGCGAAATCTCGGACGCCGGCCTCCCGGCCACAGATCGCTCAGACGATAACAACAGCACGAACGACAATGACGAGCGCAACACGCTAATACATGTACTGCATAGCTATGAAGACTTCCAGAAGAAAAATATGCACTACGTGAAGGTAAACCCGTACAGAAAAAGGGAGTCCCAATTAAGCAAAATGAGAAGGTCCATAGTCAAGTTATTTACCATCAGTGATATACGCCTAGACGAGAATGACCCCAATGGGAACATAGATAGCAGCACATATGGTAATGGTATTTCTAACAAGAGGAGGAACAAAACACAGGGCTCGAATTTCCTAACCAGCAGAGCAGCAATGTGGAATGAAGTCGAAAAAAACGACGACCCAGAATACGACTTAAAGTTAGAAAGCTCAAAAAATAAATCAATCCGTGATATCATAACACATTATTTAAGTGTCCTAATAAATGATACCATAAATGATAAAAAAGGGATGACCTACATAGCCATTCTGATGATTATTCTGTCCGTGCTCATTACCTGCATTTCGGGAGTGATCACCCTGTTCAGCAACTCAACAGGAGAAAAAGATAATTTCAATTTACACACAACGAAAAATAATTATGATGATATAAATAAATTTATGAATTACATAAAATTGGGAAATGAAGAGAACAATCGGAGTGACTTATTACGGCTGTACGATCTGCTAGAAGAATTCAAAACTAGTATGAACCAAAATATGAATGAAAATAGGAACACCATTTTGATTAACAAGAAGGAGAACCACGCATTATACGAATTAAATGCTAACTTAGAAAATAAATTAAAAGAGTTGGAAAAGAAGCTGCTCGTTAATACAAAAGATATTGACTACTTTAAAATTCATTCAAAGAGAGAAGTGGAAAATTTTAAAAAAATATTGCAAGAAAATTACGAATCTTTTCAAAACAAACTGAAGGATTACGTTAAGACGGTCGACACGATTAAGAAGGATATTCATAAAAAGAATTCCCTCATTAATGATGTGGAAAAAAAAATGAACAAAAGTCAAATGGATATTAAGAAGGACGTGTCCGATCGGGTGGAGAATGAAAAAAGGGGACTCCTCAACACCATCAGTGAGCTACAAAGGAAAATCCAGTGGATTGAATCTAAGCTCGCCTTCCATAGCTCGAATACGCACGAATCGTTGGAGTTGGATAGCGCACCGCAGGGAGGCACAGGAGCGAGATGGACAGAACGAATGATACAAGAAAATGACCAAGGGGAGGCGCGCCAAGAACTAATCGAGCAGCGCATCGCCGCGTGGAACGAACAGCATGCAGGCCTCATGCAGGATATACAGAAAGAACTAGAACTACTAAAAGAGAGTGCAAAAAAATCTACCAACTTTTTGGATGATGTCTTCCCCTCATTTGAACATACAATATTGAAGAATGTGGAAAACAAAATTAAATACTACCTAGAAGTGTACAAAAAGGACATCATTAATGAAATCACCGAGTCGAAAGTGATATATAATGAAGAAAAATACAAAACTATGGCTTTAAAACAAGAGAAAATGCAATCCGAGCTGTTAAAAACGATTAGTAGTCAAATAAAGGCACAAACGAAAGTTATCAAAGAAGATTTGAGTAAGTCTCTCCACACCATGGTAGATCAGAAGCAAATAAAAATTGACAGTAACTATCCAGTTAAAAGTGCCAAAGTCAATTATGACTCCCTAGATATGCTACAGAAAAAAGTGGATGAACTGTACAATGAATTCATCTTAGATTATAACGAAATCGATTGGGCTTTAGAATCTTTAGGAGCTAGAATCGTTTACAAAATGACAAGTTCGCCTCTCAATCGAAATGACTTCATCGAGAAGTTTCTAAATCAAATTGCTTCCTTCCTGCCGTCGGAAGAAATATACGGAATGATCAAACCGATGGGGAAAGATCCGTCTATCATTTTAAAGCCTTCAAATTTCCCAGGCGATTGTTTCTCCTTCAGTGGGAGTAAAGGAAAAATAACCATTCACCTCCCAGCCACTATTGACGTCTCATCCATTTCGATACAACACGTGCATGAAAATATTAGTAACAACTCCAATGCTACTCCGAAGTATTTTTCTGTTTACGGTGTCGTCGATTCCAATTGGCCTGAGCACTTTGAATCACAGGATATTAACTATGATGACTTTAAAAACAGCTCCCTGTACTCTTGCCTCCACTCCGTTTATGGGAATTTGCAGCCCAGGGAAATTCTGGACAAGTGGCTCAAAGGAAACAAAAACTCGGGGCTCCTACATCTCGGCGATTTCTACTTCGACCGCAAGAAACGGATTTCCACCTACCCAACGAAGCACTGTTTCCCGGTGAAGCGGTACGGCGGGGGAGCGCCAAAGGGGGAATGCGCAATGTGGCAACGTGGCACAGTGGCAAAAGAGCGAGAGGGAGAGAGGACGAAAGGGCGAGAGAGCGAGACACCAAACGAACAGATGATCAAAGCGCACACGCAGAATTGCCCCAATTCCAAAAAAGGAAATTAACCCCCTAACGCATCTACTGACGCGGCAGCGCGCCCCATCCGATCGGCCCTGTTACCGGCTGGGCATACACTGACATGATTTTCCATTTTTACAATTTTTTTCCTCCCCCCCTTTTGTAGAATAATTTTTGAGTTCACCGAAAACTATGGCGCGCCTTATACATGCGTCTACAGACTAAAGGTACATGGAAAAAGATGCATCCGGAAATTCAAGTAAAATCAGCGGGATTCGTGTAAACCTTTTTTTGTGTCAGCCTTGCGGATACTGCGCTTTAGGATTTAGCCCACCGATGGGGTATGTGATGTTTGGCCCATCCTTGTGTCTACTAGAGTTATAGCCCCCATGGGAGCTTCGTGCTATGTCCCCGCCTTCGTTGGCTTGTACACTTTGGAGTTGCAAACTTGGGACCACCTACTTGGGACAGCAAAATATGAACAGTTAACTTATCACTTTTACACTTCACCCCTTCCGTTGTTCCCTTGTGTTCCCCCCCTTTTTTTTTCTTTTTTTTCGTGTTAGATACCCGTCACCAATTTGATCATGTCACAAATTATGAAATTTTAACTCGACGACATTTCTGCATGTCGTCCACAGCTTTGTTAAATTTTTGATTCAACAATGTTATCCAATTCATTCTTCCTTATCGCTACAACCTTTCCCCCGCACAATTCCGACACCGCAACGGTTACTGCTACTGCAGTTACTATTGCTTATTATTTTATTTATTTATTTTTTTAACCACACTTGTTATTCTCTATATAAAACGTCTTC